TTTTTTTTGTGTGTGTGACTATGTTCAGGAACTTGACAGTGAGCTACATCCCCAGCCCTTTTTAAAATTTGAGAAAGAGTCTTGCAAACTTAGTAAATTACCCAGTCTGGACGCAAACTTGTGATCCTTCTTCCTCAGCTTCCCAGAGTGCTTGGATTACAGATGTGCACCACTACGCCCAGCTATCTGTGCACTTTTGAATACTTACATGTTTTTATTTTTATTGTTTTGGCCTTTTTCCTTATTTTCTAGCATTATGGTATTTTTGGCATGGGAGGATGCTTATCTTTTATTTTCCCTCTTCCAGCTTTGGCTACAGCCACTTTTCAAAGGAGCCTTTGTTTTAGTTTTTGTTTTTGGTACGAGGGATTGATCTTGGGTCCTTGCACTTGTGAGGTAGGCGGTGGAATCATTGAGCTGAATCCCTGGTCTGAGCCTTTGTTCTTTTTTGAAGAATGATTTTAGAAACTCAGATCTATGTGCTAGATATACTTATAGCCAGTAGGGTGGTGTCATTATTTCTAGGCATTCACAACAGACAGGTCTACAAAACTATAATACACACACATGCACATGCACATGCTCAGGTATCATTTTTGTGTCTTCCTAACTGTACATACATTAAAACCCCATAATTTTCATGCTAATACTTCTTATCCTGGTCTAACATCAGAAATCTTATTCTAGCTTTCCCACCTTTTCTTATTTTTAAGTCTTTTCTGTCTTATTAACTACAACATATTTACTTGTTCAAACATAATATATACAGTGTTTTACCAGTATATTTTAAAAATGTAGAATTTCTTTCTTTTTTTTTTTTTTGAGACAGGGTCTCACTATGTAGTTGAGACTGACCTGGAACTCACTATGTAGCCCAGGCTGGTCTTGAATTCACAGCGATCCTCCTGTCTCAGTCTCTTGAGTTCTGGGATTACAAGTGTGTGTCACCATGCCCGGCTAAAAATGTAGAATTTCTTATAAAATTAGCAGATTAAATCATTGGTGGTCATTGATATATTATTTTTTCTTTTAAGTCCATAAACTACTGAACAGATAAGAACTTTAGTGGATATAGAGATAAGACACTGGTGCATTTTGAGTTTTTAAGTATTTAAAAAATATATTTTTTTTGGGGTACCAGGGTGAAAATATTTTTAAAACAATACTTTTTGAACACAAAGGCCACCCAGATACAAGTAGAATTAAAATGTAATACTTTATTGTATATCTTTCTGGTTGATTTTTTAAAAAATTTTTGCTACTTAGGATTGAACCTGGGGCCTCTACACTGAGTTACATCCCCAGCTCTTTTTAAATTTTTTGTTTTGAGACAGCATCTTGCTTAGTTGCCTCAGTATGCTTGAACTTGCCTTCCTCCTTTTGTTTGCTTGCTTGTTTGTTTGAGTCAGGGTCTCCCTATGTAGTTTAGGTTGGTCTTGAACTCACTGTGTTGTCCAGGCTGCCATGGTACACGTGGCAATCCTACTGCCTCAGCCTCTTGAATGCTAGGATTATTAGTGTGTGCCACCATGTCTATCTTTAATAAAAAAATTAAAAGTAGAAAACTATAAAATACTGCCTTACAATTTTTATGTTTTTTTTTAACTTAACTATATATCATGAAGTCAATTTTATTTAAAAGATTGCCCAATGATATTTATTGGGTACTTGACATTGGACAGTATGCCAAACATTTGTACTAGGGAAAAATGATGAGCATTCTTAATAGCTATATTTTATTTATTATGTACATGTACTAAAGTTAATTTAACCAGTATCTTATCATTGTCCTTTTGAGCTATTTTCAGTTTTAAATTATAAACAGTGCTGACTCTCTTTTTTGATAGGGGCATTGAACTCGGGACCTTGTACTTGCCAGGCAGGTGGTGGCACAACTGAGCTAAATCCCCGGCCCAACAGTACTGATTCTTGTACTAGAATTATAAGTTTTGCAGAATCATTAGTAGCTTAAAAAAATCTTTAATTGTATGGGCCGGGGATTTAGCTCAGCAGTTTGGTGGCCTGCCTTGCAAGCGCAAGGACCCGAGTTCAATCCCCGGTACCAAAAAAAAAAAAAAAAAAA